TCCAGGTATTATGACATATTTACTAGTAAATTCTAGAAATGAGAATGTTGGATTACTATTTGCCACTTTCTTTCTCTGTTAAAACTACTCTGAGAAGTTGATTCATATCTGGACAGACCCCAGGAAGTGTGATGTAGCTTCATTAGCTTTGATTGAACTTGTGAGGTACTAGCTTGGTTTCTAGGATATCTCAGATATTTACATTTCTCTTTGTGGAGTTCCCTGAGGAAAAAGTGTCATATTCAGACATGATGACCACGCTTTCATTGGTGGTGGTGCTGTTGCTGCTGGCAATAAATACCACAGCCATGACCTTTTTATTTAGACAGAAAATTAGATTAACATTTCTATATCTCAGCAAGTACTTTATCTTTCTCTACCTTCTGCTAGAGGTAATGCAATGGCTCACGGCTTAGCTTTTAATACTTAGTTAAGCCAGGCTATCCTCAGATCAAGACCCCTAACATGTATCTTCCCTAAATGGAGAGACCTGGCAGTTTAGTGCCCATCTGTTTCTAAGATGGAAGCAAAGAAGTAGCCGATGTCAGTCCTCCAAGAACCTTCTGGCAAGTAGATCAGAATTTCCCAGTCACTCCTGAAGCCCAAGTTATAAATAGTCCATACTGTCTAGACAGGCCATGTTGTTGGAGCCATGGAAATGCCCTAAATCTTTTGTCTCTGACCCCAGCATCCAAAGATCTCTGTCCTTCTATTTCCATAGTATCGTAGAGGAGCATAGTATTTGGGGGAGGTCAGCTCCCTTGGATGCTGTTATTGTTAGATGCCAACTTCTAAGCAGTGCGGAAACAGTTTTGGCCTAGCTCCCCAAGCCAGGGATGCGGGGAAACATGGAAAGAAGAAGGCCTCCTAGCTTACTGGTCCCTGATAGGCCAGTGCTCAGTCTACCATTTTTCCCTGCAGTTCCCTTCAGGGCTTGCACTCGCTATTAAGTGGTAAGGTAGACAGAAGTTTCAAATAGGCTCTTAGTGTCAGGTAGTTTATAAATAAAGCTTAGGTCCTTTGGAGTTTTTCTTACAAGATGCTGTATCAATGCTGAGGATAATTATTAGTTGCTATATAGAGAACATAACTTCATAAATCAGTATTAAGCCTTCCTCTTGGAATATTCAGGACTTGAATCTAATACTTTATGATGTCAGTTATGTATACCCGCTGCTATCGAGTTGATTCTGACTTATAGCGACCCTATAGGACAGAGCAGAACTGCCCCATAGGGTTTCCAAGAAGCAGCTGGTGGATTTGAACTGCTGGCCTTTTGGTTAGCAGCCGAACTCTTTCCTAACCACTGCATCACCAGGGCTCCTAAATTATGTATAGGTAGACACTTTTCAAAATTTAAGAAAGAATGTTGATGCATTCATTTTATATACCATGGTTTCAGAAAACTTCTTTTTTAAAAACTGCCCAATAAAAGTAGTTAAGTGTAGTTCTCTATCAGCCACAGAATTGGAATGGCTCTGTGAGTGTAACATATAAATGAAAACCAGGGTGCTAAAAATCGGAGTTGGTAATAGACACAATATACATGCCTGTCTTAGTTATTTAGTGCTGCTATAACATAAATACAGCAAGTGGATGGCTTTAACAAAGAGAAAGTTATTCTTTCACAGTGTAGTAGGCTAGAAGTCCAAATTCAGGGTGCCAGCTCCAGGAGAAGGCTTTCTGTCTCTGTCAGTTCTGGGGGAAGGTCCTTGTCATCCATCTTTCTCTGGTCAAGGAGCTTCTTAGTGCGGGAACCCCGAATCCAAAGGACATGCTCTGCTCCCGGCTCTGCTTTCTTGGTGATATGAAGTCCCCCTGTCTCTCTGCTGGGTTCTCTCTTTTATATCTCAAAAGAGATTGAAACAAGATACAATCTAATCTTGTAGATTGAGTCCTGCCTCTAATCCTGCCTCATTAACATCATAGAGGTAGGATTTACAACACACAGGAAAATCACATCAGATGACAAAATAGTGGACAGTCACAAAATACTGGGAATCATGGCCTAGCCAAGTTGATACACATTTTGGGGGGACACAATTCAATCCATAACATTCCACATTTTGGCCCCCCACAATTCATGACCTTGCCACGTGTAAAACACATTCACCCCACCATATCATAGCAAAAGTTTTAGATGAACTCCAAGTCTGAAAGAGAGAAAGCCTTCCCCTGGAGCTGGGCCCCTGAATTCGAACTTAGTCTAGCCTAGTTGAGTGTGAGAAAATAAATTTTTCATTGTTAAAGCCATCCACTTGCGGTATTCCTGTTGTAACAGCACTAGTTAACTAAAACAGTGCCCTACAGGAAACTTGATATATTAATATTTCACTTTGGAAGATGTTTGTTGGAGAAGAAATTCTTATCTCCTCTTTGACTACTTTTCTGTAACTTTATTACTGCTCATGTCAGTTCTTCCTTGGTAAAAAGATCCTATTCAGAGCTTACACAAGACATGCATACCTATTTTCAAATGCAAAATTGCTGAGATACTTGTTAGCAGTGAAAAAAACCCTATTTGCTCACAAGGCAAGATCTGGTTTAACTAGTCTTTTTTCTAGTAATCGTTTGAGTATGATACTGGAGTGTTAGTAGGCTTTTCATCTTTTTATTTATTTCTTTTTCTTACCTGTAGTTAGAGTCACTTTTATTTGTCATAATAATACTTGACAAATCTGATTTTTAGATGCCTCCACTATCTCTTCCTTGTGTATCTACAGCAAGACTGACGTTGTTAAGTGATCATAATACAAATTGTGGTGGAAGATGCTACTGACAATATAATTTTCAATTATGGTAGCATTATTTTGCTCTCTTCTAGCAGATTTCTGATCAGAATTTTTTTAATCTGTATTTTAAAGAAAATTTCTAACCTTAACCATGTACCCCTTTTTTAAATTAAATATTAGATAGGAAGCCAATATATAAAATAAATGTAGAGCTTTTGTAGTTGAAATGGGGGTGGGTAGAGGGATGCCTGAAGTCCCACTAAAGTGCAGTCCAGTGGGTATCATGGTCACTACATAACAAGAAGCAAGGGTGTGGTGTAGCTCTGTTTCATTCATTCCACCAACAGAAAGCATGAATTGTACATGGTATTGTTGTAGGCTGTATATATAGTCCAAAGACATCAAGACAGTTATCCAGATGCTTCTATACTCCTAGGATTGTTTTTCTTTTCTTTTTTTAAATCGTGCAAAAGCACTTTGACTCTGTAAACCTGAAAAAAATTAAGTCTCTTACAGGCTTGTTTTAGGGAAATCCAATAAAGTATTCAGCCAGAATGGTTTTTTATCAGCAGTGTGGATTTGACCAATGATTGTGTTCTGCAAACAGTCCCATGATGAAGTAGAGAAAACAAGGCAGGAACATGCGTATCTTTTAGTTGTACTATGAGATGAAAATAACAGCAGATGCACTGCTGAAAGATCTACAGAGATGGCTGCAGTTGTCATATGAGCTCATTAAACAGCTTAATCTATGTCACTAGCCCATGGAACATGAATTGGCAGGATAGAGTGATTAACCGAGAAATCCTGGAGGCCAGCCATATTATGTCCCATCAGTGTCCCATTAACCGACTGCACGTGTATCCATAATGAGAGGACAGTCAAGTGTCTGTTGTATAGCAAATAGATGTCAAATAATTGCAAGCTGTGAGGTCAGAAAGCTAGCATTAAGGATTCATGAAACCCAGAGTTAGATAATGTGGCTGAACTGCAAACTTTTATGAAATGGCAGCTTCAGAAAGGTGACCCTGCCTTGTAGTGGTAGCTCTTTTTAAGATAAGAAATTTTAATGACATGTAAAAAGATTGTAATACGCTGGCTAGAAACTGAAACTGCAGTAAAAAAGCACACTTTTTTGTATGCAAAAATATGAAAGGACACGAAGTGACATCTGAAAGGATGCGAAGTACCATCTGCCCTCGGTCCCTTTATTCAGTTTTCCCTTTCCTTAGTACTTGCAATTTTGTGTATGTCTCCTATAGATAAATTCACTTTTGTTTTTGTACTTTTTAATGTTATAACCCATATAGGAATAATAGACTCTTGAATTATGTTTATTTATACCTCTAAATGAGAATAGCCATGATTTTCAGCCTAAGTAAGACTATGCTGATATTTTATATTTGAATATTCTCAGTTTTATATTTACACAATTGCTATTTAACACTCAGAAATATATTTCTTAGCAAAAAAGTCTGAAACTATTTTCTTTAGACGTATAATAGTTTATAACATGTAATAGTGATGATAATAATATCTGACTCTTGTATATCCATCCAGTTTTTGTCCTCAAAAGACAAGGATTTTTTGTCTTTTTTTTCTCTTTGTGTCTGGTGTTTGTTTCAGTAAGGGTTTAGTCAGTTCTTCTGACTGGTTTGGAGGATATAATTTTCAACTGTGGTGAACTCTTTCCAGTGTGAGATTAAATTGAAAGTTATTCCCCAAGAACTGCGCGTGGCTGCCTTGTTTTCACCTCCATACAGATGTTTTTTCTGATCACCCTCTATGCTGCTCCAGTACCCTAGCTCATGTTCTTAAAAGTATTATCTCTATCTGAAAATATGTCTTTATTTGTGCTAGTCTTTCTTTCTCCCTACATTAGTAAAAGTTATTTGAGAGCAGGAACTTGTTTACCAGTCACTTTGAGCCTAGAACAGTGCCTAACACATGTTGTTGTGTGCTGTCGAGTCGATTCCGACTCAGACCAACTCTATAGGACAGAGTAAAACTGCCCGATAGAGTTTCCTAGGCTGTAATCTTTATGGGAGCAGATTGCCAGGTCTTTTCTTCCATGGCACTGCTGTTGGATTCAAACTGCTGCCCTTTCAGTCACCTTTTGCTGACCTTTTGTGCCACTACGGCTCCTCGCCTAACACATAGTAGGTGTCAATATGTATTTGTTGAATAATTGAATTTTGTTGTCTTAAAAAAAGTAGTCTTAACTTTTGAATTGCATTTGCATGTGAATTTTTTTCAATTCTGTTACAGTTTTTCAGAAACCTTGGAATTAGCAGATGACATGGCCATTGATATTCCCCATATTTGGCTGTACCTTGCTGAACTAGTGACCCCCATGTTAAAAGAAGGTGGAATCTCCATGAGAGAACTTATCATGTAAGTTATACTTGTTTCTTTTGATAATACATCAAGTTAAACTGACAGAGAATTCACCAGCTGGCTCTCTAGCATAGTGCAGTTTCATTAGTGCCTTTGGATGCTCTCTTGGATACAGCCTGTGACTCTTCGTTGTTGTTGTCAGATGCCCTCAAGTTGGTTCCAACTCATAGCGACCCTGTGTACAACAGAATGAAACACTGCCCTGGTCCTGTACCATCCTCACAATCGTTGTCATGCTTCAGCCCATTGTAACAGCCACTGTATCAGTCCATCTCCTGAGGGTCTTCCTCTTTTTTGCTGACCTTCTACTTTACCAAACATGATGTCCTTCTCCAGGGACTGATCTCACCTGATCACATGTCCAAAGTATATGAGGTGTAGTCTTGCCATCCTTGCTTCTAAGGAGCATTCTGGTTGTACTTCTTCCAAGACAGATTTGTTCATTCTTCTGGCAGTCCATGGTAT